ATGTTTTTTTAAGAGTTTCTGCTACGTTTACGTTGTAAAATTCCTTTCCCATGTCGGTTTGCAAATTTTTTGGACATCTTCCATCGTTTCGAATTATCTTGAAAATTGCTTTAGCCATCTCATTTCCACTCTTGGTTGTGAGCGGTACAGCCCATGCATACTTGCTGAATACATCGATAACGGTAAGAATGTAGTGGTAACCTTTGTTGAAACGCGTGTAAGGTCGCATCTCAACCAAATCTGCTTGCCATAGGTCATCATATCCGTAAACTATGACGCGTCTTCGCGGAAAATTTCTCCTCGCCGGAGCGTGCAGTTCCTCGATCAGCCTCCGTTTCTCAACGTTTTTCTTCTCAGACATGCTTGGTCGCGGCACACAACGTGCAAAATGACACAGAAATCCAATGTACAATCTTATTTACTTTTTTTATTCTTCATGACACGTATGAAATCTTTCGTTTCATCAACTACTTTTTTAAGCTCATTTACAGTTATTTGAAGCGTGTCTAACGTCTTCTTGATTTCATCCTGCTGAATTTTCAACATATGCATGCACTGTAGCACGTATCGTTTGCTGGCGGCATCATCATCATCCACAGGTAGCGCTACGCGTCGAATCTTGCGCGACTTTGCGTCAAAGTCAGCTGCGACCACGCAAAGAGCGTTATCGCGCACGTAATTTCTGAGAAATCCGCTCCATTGGTGATATGGTTCCACTCCGCTTTTTTCGAGCGAAGTTCCAAATTTGTTGATCGGCATTTCAATGTTGACTAAATGATTCGTATCGCATACAATTTAATTTATAATAAAGCCGGCTTCGCGAAGTTCCTCGATTATCGATAGAATCTCGTTATCATGAGCGTTGTTGCCTGCTCGACGAGAAGCGTCGAGCAATCGGAGGCGATCCACTAGTTCGTTGGGATCGTCCCAATGAACGTAATCGATCTCGTTGTTCGTCAACGTCATGGCGACAGGCAAGCCCAGTCCCTTTCTACGTTTCAGATGCTCGGATACGAGTGGCTTGATAAACTCCGTGTACTTCGTTCCCCTGTTGCCCCTAATGCGTTCGCCCTCTTTGTAGGCACGGTTGTAGAGGTTCGTTGCCATAATTATACTCTTGTACGTCATGTTGTCGGGAAGAGTGATGGATTGTCTATCGGGCTTTTTCATGAAGATCAATTCGTACAATCCTGGCGTGCCGCGGTACCTTACATTGTCCACGAGTATAGCATCATCCTTTTCAAGATCGAATTGTTTGTCGCCGAGCATTAAACGTCCATCGTTGCCGAAATAGATACCGTTCGAGTGATCGATTTCCCTCTTTCTGTCCTGACCGAGGAACAGGTCCATGTACTTTTGCCCAAGCGGCCCCAGTTGACTGTGCAACGCATCGCGACTCCGTCGCGATCGCATGCTCTCTCTGACGGTCGTTTCGAGCGAAGGTAAAGGTGTCGACGCAAAGAACTCCTCCCGCGGTAGTACCGTCGGTTGTTCCGTCGATGCATCCGCCGGCGGTTCTATCACTGACACAGAACTGAGCGTGGGTAACGCGACGTTCCATTTTTTTTGCTTTTTGCGCGGCGTTTGCTTAGGCGTTGACGCGACTCTGAACCATTTGTCGTCATCCTCGGTATCGCTATCCACGCTTTCCTTCTTCCTCTTGACACTCGGCGCAGCGTCGGTCTCGGCTCTCTTGACACTCGTCGCTGCGTCGGCCTCTCTCTTGACACTCGTCGCTACGTCGGCCTCTCTCTCGATCGATTCCTCGCCAACGGCATGCTCGGCGATCTGTTTCAGAGGTTCGACGATGGGTTTAAAGCGTCTCTCCAACGCGATATCCTCGTCTATTCTACCAGTTTTCAGAGCGCGATGCTTCTTGCGAATCGACTCGCTTGTTTTCGCGATCTGCTTCGCTATTCTCTCGCGATTTTTTATGCTATCCATGTTGAGGGAACGTTGCATAGTTGACGTATCGACTACAACTAACCACGTTACGGTACCGCGAACTCGTTAAATTCTTTTCTGTATCGTCCATCTCTAAGAGCGCAGTCCTTATCTATCACTAGAAATCCATACTTTTGCTGCCAACAAGTACGACATAATTCACAGAAATCTTTATATGACATGTCAGTGTTTACGTGATCATTGTATACATGTTTCAA